GACCAACTTCTTGAGGGTGCTTCTAAACCGTGCACAGCATCGTCTTAAAATGTCGACGTCCGAGATACAATACCCTACAAACTCTTTCTGGAAATCAAACACTTTTCCCCTCTGTTGGTCGTACCATTCGTAAAAAGCTTTTCGTCCACTGGTAGTCATTTCGTCCGGTTTGTAGAAAGCTGCCGGTGGATAAGGTCCCACGTAATTCTGGTTCTGTTCCGTATTAAAAAAGTGAGGGAAATAACCTTTCTTCAATTCGTTCAATCCGAAAGCGGAGGGCATCTTGGCCAAAGGAAAGGTTAAGAAACTTTACGAGTCGATGAATTTGAGTCCACACATTTCCATGGACAAGATCTTACTCCCGTTCATGATCACGTTAGGTTTCAGGGGAGAAGAATGCACTATGTAATTCAAAATGAATTGTCCGTCGTATCCTTTGAAGTTATGGGCGATGACGATGGCCCCGTCGTGTACTAAAGTGGAATTCTTAGTACCTGTAGTGGGTTGAAATAACCAGTCCATGAACTTCTTTAAGGTGTCTGGTCCTTGAAATAGGTGCTGACGGGGTCCCATGTGTTGACAATGAGGACAAGGTTGGTCTATGGGTAAGTCATCGCAATGTTGACAGACGCGATGTGCCACACACAGATTAGGAACGTGAATGCCCGATTCCTGAGTGCATTCGAAATCGAAATAAATGGTAAATTCTAAGGTGCCTTTTCCCTTCTTCTTCTTCTTGGGCTTCTGTCGAACGTAGCACCGATGATCGGCATCGACGATTTTCTTACAGATCTTACACAGTTTCTGATCTCCGCATTTGTGATGAGGAAATAATTTCTTAGGTATCCAGGACTGACACTTCTCGCATAACCCCATTAAATTGCAGACAGTAGTGGTGGTTTTCTTACCATGGGGTTTTAAATGATCTTCGTAGCAGGTCCTGTTCTTAAACATTCCATGGCATTCCTGGCATTTAATCTTGATCCCTTCATCGGGACAATTAGGGTGATGTCCTAAACAAAAGGTACAGCGATGAGGGCATTTGGAGCGATGGTCTGTGACATTCCTGTACCCCACGTCGCAATGATCACAGTAATAGGGGTTCCCCGTTACTCCCGGCATCGATATGATGGCATCGCAATGACGGTTGTCTAACAAAATGTTCAAACAAGTTCCATCTCCCCAGCCTTTGAAGATGCGCTCTAAACAGAGTTTAGTGGAAGTAGATTTGAACTGAAATATTTTCAGACGATACTGAGGAGCTAATACCTGTTGTAATTTCGGCCACTCTGCATTTCCACAAGCTTGAGTGATATCACATCCGGCTTGTTCCATGAGGGCTATGGCTTCGTTCTTCTGGTCCAAGGATTTCTTATCGCCCTTCCGCATACGGAGCCATCGTTTTTCCCATTCAGGGTCTGGATGATCGGGTTTCTGACTGTGTAATCGAGTGACGACGATGGCTCTAGCCAAACAAAATTTATCATGGGGATTGACGATCCGAACGATGGCTCGTTTATTTTTCTTGAAAGTTTCTTTATCCAGTTGTAGATGTTTGTTTCTGTTTCCACCACTCCCCTGGGGATTCTCGATGTGTAACAGATCGAATTCCGTGGAGCCGTCGCCGATTTTGAACTCCTTTTTGGATTGTTGCACACGTTGTATTTCTTTTAAAATGACGTCTTCGTTTAAATCTTTACATTGCATAAACTTGTAAGAAATGTCTGATTCCAGAGAATCGTGATGAAGGTTCAGGCGGAGGTAATCGTTAGGATCACACTGCATTTTAGATTTGAAGTCTTGTAACATGTTTGTGAATAATCGCCGAAGGAAAGCTGTGTTTTCTTCTTCTTCTGGAAATTCATCGAAATGAACGACATATCTATTTTCATGCGCTTTAAATTTTGGAGAGGTCCTTTTTTCAGCTAGTCTCATGTGATAATACTCAGAAATGGGTTTAGGTGGTAAATCTATTTCTCTCTCGGTACTTTTTCGTTTCAATATTCGTCGAGCCTGTACCTGTTTTTCTCTAGTAGAATCCATGTCTATCAGCTGATGGCTCTGAGGGTAAAATGAACCCAAAGTCGGAGAAAAACCGAATTTATACAGTGGATGACGTCACAATGCATAGGTAAGCATTTTTTTTTTTTGCACACGGCCCTTTATAGATCTTGCAACAGGTATATAAGAACAGGCAGGTAAAAGGTATATTTCTTTTGCACACGACCCTAATTTTTTGCACACGGCACTTTATCGCTGATGCAAACAGGTATATATATAAGAAAACGTAGGTAAAAAGTATTTTTTGCACACGGCCCTAAAATAAATCCATGCTATATATATAAACCAGCGCTGGACATTGAGGATCACTCTGCGTGAGTACTTGAAAGTGAACACAAGTAAAAAAGTTTCAGTGGTCAAGTCAGAGGTATGGAACCAAGGTATCGCTGGTTTATTGAGAATACTGACAAGAGTGGACCCTGGATGAAAACCCTAGAAGAAGCCACGCAGGATTACCATAAAACCCATTCAGAGGAATCTAATCAAACAGTATGGACTTGGGAGGAATACTTTAAAGAACTGTGGGGCTTGGATAAGATGATTCCTGAACAATCTAAAGAAAAAGTTGAAGAAACTAAACAAAAAGTATGGTTGGAAAAAAGAGTGAAATTTCCTGAAAATTATGTGGTGATAAGGAAGCACTGCTCTTTTGAGGGAATGAAGGGTTATCACGACTACAAATGGGAGATCAGAGGTGAGGATGATGATGGTTTTCGGATTGAAACTATATACTTCCCCGAGTTAGAATCGTGTATTGAACATTTACTTCTGTACAAGAAAGAAGGAAAAGCCTTAAAAAGACCGCATCTAGGTACTTATACAGAGTATCTCCATGGAATAATTCCTTATTTTCCAAATGAAAAAGGTATCCCTTGGATGACACGAGACTATGATGATGATGATGATGATAATTTGGACTTTATTTTAGATTAAAAGACAGCCTGTAAATTGTTGTATTTTCATTCTGAATAAAATCTGTGTTCTTGATATAATCTGTCTTGTGTGTTATTTGTTATTGTTTTCAGTAAAAATCCAGTTTGAACCGGCTGGCTGGCTAGACTGGCTAGACTGTGAAGCGTGACGTCATAATCACATTCTTGAAATGTTTTGCACACGGCGCATTTACCTGTGTCCATAAACAAAACGTAGTACCAACGTACCAATGTAAACACAGTGTAAACAACTCCGTATTTAGGGATAGGTTAGGGGATAGGGTTAGAGGGCTAAGGGGGGCTAGGGTTAGGGTTAGGGGGTTAGGGTTAGTTAGGGTTAGGGTTAGTTAGGGACAGTTATGGTTAGGGTTAGGGTTAGGGTTAGGTTAGGGTTAGGGGGTAGGGGGTAGGGTTAGGGTTAGTTAGGGCCAGGGGGCTTAGGGTTAGTTAGGGTTAGTTAGGGCTAGGGGGTTAGGGTTAGTTAGGGTTAGGGGGTTAGGGTTAGTTAGGGTTAGGGTTAGTTAAGGTTAGGGTTAGTTAGGGCTAGGGGTTAGGGTTAGGGCTCAACCAATCAAAACTGATCACGTGATTTTCTCTCAGCCAATCAGAATGCGACGTTTTTCATACTAATTCGCCATTATTTAAACACTAATTTGACAACAGATATTTCCGTTATTTCCCAATCGTGACAAGTAGCACACGGTAGGGGGTGCTCACGCCTTCATTGCACCTGATCCCACCTTTGCTGTTTTGGGGGTCCGTGTTTGCTCTTCTCCTATTTTGTATTATTTTATGGACTGTAAGCTTAAATGCTGTTCGTTATCTCCATTTATTTAACTGAGAAGGAGAGTTGTCAAGATATTTCCTGCACATCTATAGCCATGAGTGTCTAAGAGGCCATGTCAGTAAGCGTTGAGCTTCATCACACTATATCATCAGTTTACATGAAAAGTGAAAAATTTAGTCCTAGCTCAAATTTTGTGAATATGTTGCATATGAATAGTCTTTCAAAAAATATATCTATGAATGTAAAAAGTTCATCTGGTAACTAGGGAAACAGTTTTCCTTGGATACAACTCAATTATTATGGCTGAAATCGCTAATTTTGTATTCTTCTTGTTATTTGTGACAGAAATAATTCATATGCACTATTTTTTAAAGAAAAAAAATCATATTTTTGACTTTCCATAGAAAGTTCAATGCTTACTGACATGGTCTCTTAAATCTTTGATCCCCATATTGTGACCCAGTCCAATATACAGGGGTCATGATTTGAACAGATTATAACCGCACAAAGTAATGAAGTTATATCAGTGACAAAACTGTCAAGTTAACAAATATATGATGACATATGAAGATTAATTGCGCTCAAAAGTCGATTGAAACAACAATTTTTTTTTAATAGAGCAAACACGGACCCCTGAAAACAGAGAGTGGTAGTTTACATTCATTCTAATGTCGTTTATAGAAATTCATATAATGAGTATACACGACAAAGGCGGTATTCATAAACTGGTGAGGAAGTCGCGATCGCTAACCTTGTCTTTCCATTTATCCGACCGCTTTTTAAAAACAGACTGAGATGCAAGATTTCAACAGGCACTTCTACAGTTATACTGAAACTTATGCACGCTAGCTTGTTTCAGATATGATTTGACAATATCATATCATTCGATCATCAGAATCTCCCTTTTCCTGAGGATGATTAGATCTGTATCAAAATATAGCTATTCTTTGTTGTATAATTCTTGAGAAGATTTTTTAAAGATATTTTCAATATATACATTTTATATTCCTATTTAAAACGTTTGATCGATTCCCTAAAACTTTTTGTATCATTTCAATGATATGTTGTAAATGTAAAATAAAAATAGAACTCAAAGAGAAACAGTACACTAGCTGGTGAAGCTCATCGAGCTGTACCCACGTGCATGCATGTAAAAACGTGCACCAAAAAAAGGTACATGCAACTTGTATGTAGTATATCTTAATACATTCCGGAAAAAGTACATTTGTGGTTTTGCTTTTAGTCTCTATTTTCACTTTGGTAGTTTACACATTTTTGCGTGTATCTACCCGAAAAAGCTTCAGCATGGCAACGGATACTAGGATCCCCACAGGTAACAATGTATTATTGATAATTATAATATATTTGAGACCAAATCCTCGCTGAGAATCATCAAATGCACTAAAGTAAACATTGGGGACACGCCCTGATCAACTTGATCGGCTTTACGCTCTTTACAGCTTTGGTTTAGAATGTTTAGCCTAAGCAAACACTGAGGAATAAAATTTTGTATTTATGATGCAGTTTATTTTGATAGAGAATTCATTGTATTTATCTTAAGATCTCTGTGAAATGAAATTAATTTTGGAGTTATCAATATCGTGATTACCGATTACGGAATGCCACTTGCTATATGGTAGATGATCTTAACGATTTTAACATTTCAAATCACTTAAAATCACTTATGTATTTGGATTTTTATTTATAGTTGCTGCTGAAGAGATAGACCTGACCACTGTTCGTGTTGTTGTAATTGTTCCAGAACTGACTTTAAAAACAAAAGTGTTCGGGGCAAAGGAACCCAGCAAAAATTGTAAAGTCGAAGTTAAACCAGAGACAAGGTACGAGGAGTTATCTTCCCTTCCCTAAGCCGTGCTTAGTCACACAGATTGTTCAGTCTTGGATTAGGTATTACTGATCTGCCTGATTATGTAATTCTCTGTGTTTGTAGAAGTTTACAGTTCACTGCTGAAATAGAAGAAAAAGGTGGTAAGGTGATCAAGTATGAATATAAAGCCAACAAACTACCTGGGGACATCGAGCCTAATTGTAAACCTGAGGTAAAGGGTCTATTTCCAAAGATTCATCTATTATAATTATAATGAAACTTACAAGGTCTTATCCTTCTAACAGCCAAAAAATGTATAATTACGGAATCTTCAATTTGGGTTGTTGTTTTTTTACCTAGGTAGATACAAATCAGTTTTATGAATCATAACAGTCATATAAAGTTATATATATATAATATATGTTTTAGCAGTAATTTTTTCAATATAGTTAACTGCATTTTCCTATTTCAGTTTAAAAAGGGGCAGGTAATTCTAAATTTGAAGAAGAAGGAAGAGAGTTCGTGGGCAGTTCAGCTCTCTAAGAGTGGACTTGATCAGGATCCAGATGCCTAGGCACAGAAAGCAGAGCCAAGGATATTGAATCAGATGAATCCTGTTATTGGATTGAAGGCATGTTTGTAAACATTTAGTACTTGAGCTGATATGGTCAACAAGATTTTAATACAGAGGTATTGTACCTATACTTATCAACTGATATGCTGAAGTGAAATATGCATGCAGTAATTTCTACTTTTTATGCCTGTCATATTTTGCTAGCTTTGCAAAACCTAGAACTACCTTATATCATTTAAAGATTTATGACTAAATGTTTTAATGTTTAACTCCCTCTTATACATCACAAAGAACTGTTTCTATCCTATCTATGATATTCGATGACTGTTGATGATATTAGTAACTTTATATTGGAAGGGTTTTGATGTACATAGAATATTATATAAGATTATATTTTTAAAAATTAATAAATGTAATGATTAAATAGCTGACAAAAATCAATATTAATGAAAATGACTTGTTTATAGTTACTTTAATTTTAGTATTCCATGGAAAAATATTTTTACTGTACACTAACTGTAAGCAATCCATCTTTGTATGCTGTATATATATGTAAATAGTTTATAGTACTGTTTATCAGTAGATATCCTTTAGCTGTGCAATAATGTTGAAATTAAAGTACAAGGTTATACATATTTTACTTTAGTTGTTTATTTATCATATAATTTTTTTATTTGTTGATAACTTTATAATTCTTTTTACCCAAAATATAGATCTGTAAATAATCAATGAGTAGATACTGTGATCTTTAAAAAATAAAATTCATGTTAGTTTTGGTATCTGGTTGTTCTTTGTTTTGTTTTTTGTTTTTTTTTTTTTTGTTTTGTTTTTTTTTGTTATAGTAACTACTAGGATATAGGTTTACCCTTAAAGTTATTAACAAGACACATTTGGTTTTCAAAAATTAGCATCTGAACATGTGTAGATCTTGATATGGTGAATTACTCAATCATATTCTACAGCAGTTGTTGATCTATCTTGATCATAGGTCGTTTGAAATAATACTTAAGAAATTAATTGTCCATAGTACTATGCAGGCTAATTAAGTATATATATTCCATCATAATCGTGTATACTCCATCATATTTTACAGCAGGTTGATGATTCATATTTTGATTTGAATAATACCCAATAAATTAATTGTCCAAAATGGACCGGTTTATCTAACAATGAAAATTAAAGGTCACATTGTAAATCATCTTCAAAGTTAAACATTTCAGGAATTTCGTTTATCAAGTATACATGACTAAATCGTGTGTACACACTCAATCATATTAAATAGATACCGGCGATTAAGTATATTTATCATCATTTCACAAAGACTAAATATGTCCAGTCCTACATCTCCTACACAGATTTCCTCTTTCATCATTTAGTTGTTAAGCGGTTCCTCTTTGAGTTTAATTTGCTGCTCCACCCCGAATCGGAAACTACAGTTACCCTCGACAACCCAATGTACAGTCCTTTCTTCTATCGTAAAACCAGTCGTGCCTTTCTTTTGCTCATCCTTCATTATCTGGGAAAAATCTCCCTCAAACGACTGGATAAACGAATTATTGTCTTTTAAATTCGTTAAAGATACAATCACAATTCCTCGAATTTTTACTAACATTTTATATTTGGCACTAAAATCATTTTCCCGCACCTCAAGATCCGCCGTCGCGGAATGGTTTCCCTTGACCCTAATTGTGCTATTTACTGCCCAGGTCAAGGAATTTTCACAAGTATCCTCAAATCCTGTTTGCATATTCACCTCTCTCCCAAATCCCGCTGTAATCTCGGCCACTTCCTCCGGAAGTCCTAGTTTGAGTTCCACATTAAATCCCTTGGTGAATCCCTTCTCCATGCTGGTTGTACTCACACAAGACGTTGTTCTCTCGGTTTGGAAGGAATGCTCTTGTTCGTTCTCTGTATTGTTGTGATATGTTGACCTAAATACAACTTGAGCTTTCGGAATTTTCTCCATATTTTTGTCTTCGTACACTGGCTTCTCCGTGACGAATCGAACACGTGACCAGTTGACATTCATCTGCACATCTTCCAGACGGAGCTTGCTGTTTTCTTTGGAGCGAACCTTGAGAAAGTTCGTCCAGGCCCAAGTTTTGACAATGTCCTCAAGATCTACAACGTTTGCCATACTGCTGGAATACAGTAAATGATAAAAAAAAGTTAATATTATATAATACAAATACCGGTTTATGCCTCGGACACTTGTTTCTATAAATATAAAAAACTAATAATATTTTTTATCCCACAGACAGAAAAAAATACCAGCAACAATATAATGATAACTGCATGGTATATTATTATTATGCTACTGGTTGACGAAAGTATAACAAAAAATGTCAGTGATTTATACATAGATTTTTATAAAATTTAGGTTGGTTGTTGATTAGACTCTGATAAGAATTTTCTTCCAAAGATTAAGTGAAAAAAATCGAAATAATAACAAGTCTTGTATATTTGAAGGGCGTACTTTCTCCAACAATATACAATTGCTAAATATACGTACATATAAAAGTTATGTGACCTTGAATGTTTACTTTCATTTTAAAAAGTAAAAATATTTCTTTTGCAACAATGCAGAAAAAAATCATATAGAAGGCCTTTCACCCCCACCCTCACTTTTTCGTTTTTGTCTCCCTCGATCTCTTTTCTCATTCAATGGTCTAAAATTTCAGATTGTGTTTGTTTATAATATTTGTTATTCATGTTATACACACATTTTAAAATGTAGCGGAACTTTTTATGAAGTTGCGATATTTTAGACTGCAGTTCACTTAATTTAAGGGGGCCGACTATAGTTTTATTGTGTGAAAACTACAATAGCGAAACTCTTCATTATTATACCATATATAACTTGCATTAACTTCAGTGTACATGCAAAGTTTGGGGAAAATTTACCGTCCAGGTATTTTTGAGGGACCGTCTCAAAATACAGGTACATTTACTATAGGATTATATAGGAAAATGCCAATTTTTAGCACTTTAAAGCAAATTATACAAATACTACATTAGACATTTTGTTCAAACTATAATATTTTATGAGTAATACTATATGATACAATATATGTAAGAAACACAAAATTCTACTGTCTTGTTAAGAGAGGGGGCATCTCAATATGCAAAAAAATAGCAAATTTTACTATTTTTATAGAGTACTACAAAATATGACGTAAACAATGGATTCAAAAGAAAACGTAATAAAAATATTGGAGATATTCTAAAATTTCTATGTTTTAAATTTCAAGAGCGTGTGTTTATTACTTTTTCTGTAATAATATTTTTATTACCCCTTTCTTTAAGAGCTTCAGATTACCATAACGTCAAAAAGACACTGCAGCGACGTCATCCTACCAATCAATTGCAAAATCGGTTAAATAATCAGTTATAATATCGAATTGTAATTACATTTTTATACCTATAATTTCTTAATTTTGTTTAATTCTAATAATTAAGCGAAAAAAGTTGCATTAAAACAATAAATACGCTTCATTTTACTATGATGCGCGAAATATTGCGCAATGGAAACTATAGTCGGTCCCCTTAAATCGTGTAGAAACGTTGAAATAGTCACAGTTCTTCGCAAAACTTTTATACTGTATTTGACGAAGGAGAGTTGGACATAACAACCTAGGGCAATAAAACTCGATATCCATCGGTCATGCCGCTGTGGGAATTCGCTTTCCTCGTCTATGTTAACATATTACAATTAGCATAAAACCGTAATAAAACCGAATACAGTGTATGGAGAACTCGACTGATCTTCTAAACTTTTGCAATCAGAAATAACAAACTTATTCTGTATACATGTACATTGTTCCGCATTTTCATAAATAAATAATATATGCATATCTGCCGATTAATTGCGTACACGATTCCAATTTCTGTCAGTAATTAATTTTAAAGAAATACTTTGTTAAATTCAAATTCTATTTTTCTTCAGCTTTGTTTAGTTACAGGATTTAAATTTAGATACTTACATATTAATTAATACTAGTATATACCTTTGTGTTCTATAAATATTGAGGGTACCAAAAGAAAGAAAATGCAATATGTTTGTTTCATATCGATTTTTCTGAATGTATAAAATTATATTTTAAAATAATCCCAAAACTGCCTAAGATATTTTTGAATATATCACATTTCAATTTTAACAAATGAAGAAATAAATGTATATAAGATTATTTACCTCGTGTTTTGCTGTTTAGTCCAGTGCCCGGTGTTTAGGAGAGTCGGGGCAGTTATGTGACTGTATCAACCCACGTCCTCCGGGAATCCCGCCCTGTAATCACACGAAAAGAGAACGAGGGATTAGGACAACTTACCGAACCAATATTATTACATTCTGATGAAACTGGCTTCACTCCAAACCAAACTTTTGTTTCTCAGTGACTCTAATCCTATTAATTTCACATTCACTTGTTTACTCAAAGTATTTCAATATTATTAGTTAATTTGCGGATTTCGATGTTTTAATTTCAGACTTCAGACGGCGTTATTCGCTTATTTATTTGTTCTCCCCATTGTTATTTCGTTTTCCTTTTACGTATAAAATTATAGAATATTTTGTTTGATGTAAAAATTTGGAATAGTTTTTAAAAATTAAAGCGCATATTTTTCTTTAAAGGAAAATTTAAAATGTTTAAAGGAAGAATTACTGTACTGAATACATGAAATATGTAGAGAAACAGAAAACTCTCTGTTTCATATGCAATTTTAACCTTTTTTTTATCCATTAATTTAAAAGATGTATATTTATGCATATTCAAATAAAACATTCACTTTCTATAAACCCACTTTTGGAATGTTTTTTTTTTAAATTACATAAAAAGCAATCGTTTAGAATGAAACGAGAAAAGTGCATTGTAGCTCAAATTCAGCTGAACCATTCCTAGAAGATTATCGATCAGAGATGGAAGCCCCACATCAGTCCGCCAGGATAAAGACAAACGTGATTTATGGTTGATATCAAACATCCATACTCGGTAAATTTGATAATCTCGACGGTTTTAATCGTGTCATTGTCGGTGCCGAGGGAATGCAGAACGTTAGTTACATAAAGCCTCCAGAAGAGGCAGACCACTTAACGTTAAGAGGCAAAAAATGTAGAAACGAGCATCGCTTCCAAACACTACATCAGTTTACTTAATGCTGGTACTTAATGCTAGAAATATTCAGCAAAATGAATACCGGTATTAGTTTAAACAATAACTAAACAAAACAGGGGAAGAGAAGAAAAAAGATCATTGAAAGGAATAAGCTACACCAATACTAAAAGCTGACTACAATGACTGTAGAAGAACAATCTAGAGAGTGTTTATATTTTGGATGCATTAGGCTGACACCGGAGAGAGCAAAAGCTACTCAAAACTTCATTAGCGTGTTCGTGTAGGACACGTGCATCATGTAATTGATCACAAGCAAATTAGTTTAAGGGTGAACCGTATGTTTAGATACATTGTCTGCGGCCCGGCATCGGGAACATATGTTTTTGTTATGACAAAGGATGCCATCAAATTTTGTTTGTAATTCTAGTCAGTTTTTTTTTTTTGCTAAAGCTTTATATATTTATAGAACCGCCATTTTCTCTAATAAGTATCCAGTTCATTTGGGGTTTGTTAAGAAGGAAATATGCAAAGTGTTATTTTCCGGGGTTGAATAGTGCATACGTTCAAAGTTAAACATGGTGAACGATGTTTCTTCCTCATAACTATCAGATGTCCAGTCATGTATTTCTAAAGCGACATTGAATTTAAAAACATTTTAGAGGTCATTGTTTAATAAGGGCGTTTTCAACTTTCCATATACACTGTATATATGAGGAAACTGGTCGCTTGGAACTATCTTGAACAAATCAAAATGAACTTTGGAAACACACAATTGATTGTTCCCATGCATCAACACGAAACTTTAAAACAAAAAAAAACTACATCATGATCATTTATTTATTTTCACGATGGAGATTTTATTGAAAAAATGTGAACATTTACAGGTTAAATTGTTAATCGATATTCGTGAAACAATTGCTCTTTCCCAGTGTTTGATACGGTGCAACCTGTCCCAGAAACCTTTGATCTTTACCAACAGAAAATAATTTCAAATAAAAAAATTATGCCACTAAAAAGTTATTGCAAAAATATATTTCTAATAGATTATGAAAATGTCTTACCTTTAATTTAATGAATTGACTATTTCTCCCCACTTATTTGCTCTGTCACTTCAGCAACAGTCATCGCCTATTTCATGCCGAGCACTGATTGGGTCGATAAAGTCACGTGTCTGTATCGACGTGTTGAATCAATGGCCGTGTGGCCAGGTAAATTATTTATGTTATTGTGAAGGTATAGCGATATTTCACAGATGGTGTACATAATTTCAGTGTTAATCATAGTGTAAACAGACTGTCACAATCAATATTTAATTTTAATTGCATTTACATTATGTTTATGGTTTTTATTTTATTTACCCTTTACTGGACCTCTATACTTTTGTTACCTTATTGAACCTCAGTTAAGTTTTGCAGGTATTGGTCAGTTACGACCTATTGTATTTTGGGGTATTTAAATCGCTGCATAGCTGACCAGGTAACCAGGGTCCACGTTTTCATAGCTTTTAAATGGTTGACATACAGTCCAAGATGAGTGGCTAAATTTTTTCTTTCAACGGTAACCATTTCTCCAAAGGGGTAAGTTTGTTTTTTATTTCATATGTAAGTTTTTGAGTAATACATTTAAAACGTAGAACTATTTAAGAACTTGAGTTAATTAATGTTTTTGTTACTATTTACGTATACAGGTTTTGCTGGGTAGAGTTACTCATGCGTTTATTGTTCTATTTTTGTGCAATGTACTGAGTTATATACGCACGTAGGCTATTTTGTTTTGCCGCTTATAAAGTCGGTGTTGTGGGTTTAATAGTTAAAACCACTTTTGTTAAGATGTTGTGTATTCTTAACGTTTTTCTTATTATAATAGTGTTCGGTTAAAATTACCGGGACTGATTGTATGGTGTGCCATAAGTGCAATTGTAGTCAATGGTGACTTGAGTTTTCCTTTTGTATACGTGGCTTGTGACTTAAAAAAATGTTATTTAATTCAAAGGTTCCTGATGTTATCCAATGTTAATCTATCCATGTGTGTGTTGGCAATGAACTTACCAGACCGGGATACCCACTGGGAGCCAGTTGGCGGGAGTCCGTCGTGAAACGGGTCGTGTCTGGATAGACGTGGTTTAGAGTCAACGATATTGAGGATTAATAGAGACTTTAATTTCTGTGTATTGTAAATAATAGCTGTAAAAATATGTTGTAAATATTGTTTTTATTGATTTTATTTATAGATAAAAAAAAAATTGTAAATAGAAAAAAAAATCTTGTTATATCTGACTGGACAGAGCACGACGGCTGTCGTGACAAATTGGTGTCAGAAGTGGGATCAGTCTGTTCAGTCAGGAGTATTTTTGTATATTACACTTATGTTTTTTTTTTTCTTTAATCATTTTTGTTGTATTTTGCAGTCAAAGAGTTTGTAGATTTTTGACAGTCTCAGGGTGTGAGTACTTGGTTTATTGATGGAGCCCCAAATGGAGAAAGCTAGGTTACCGTTGCTTTGTTTCGTATGAATTGAGTTTGTATACTTAATTTATCTGTTGAGATACAAGTATACACATTTTTGAGAAAGATTTTCCACATTTCATTTTTGTTTTGAAAATCAATGTTGTTCTACTGGATTGTAGTAATATTTTTCATATTTAGTCAGTTAGTGTTAAGTTCTATTACAATGTCGACATTGAAAGAACTTGCAGAATATGGACAGAGTCTGAACTTGACTGGTGCGGACTTGCAGCAGTTTATACAGCAACAACAGGCACATCAGCGTGAGCTACGAGCGGCGGAAAGGGAGAAAGAGAAGCAGGACAGGGAGTATCATCTCAGTAGAGAAGCACTTGAAATTGAGAAACTCAAACTACAGGAAAAGAAAGGTATGGAAGAGATTGAGAGTAAATTCATGCAAACTATTCAAACCTTAGAGCAAAAGTTAGCTGTAAAGGAGTCAGAAACGAAATCAGAAAATCCTAGTAATGCAAAGTTTCCAAAAATGCCTGTATTCGATGAAGTTAAGGATGATATTGATTCTTATTTGAGACGTTTTGAAAGGTACGCTGCAGCACAGAAATGGAAGTTTGACAGTTGGGCTGTTAACTTGAGCGCACTACTCAGAGGTCGTGCACTGGATGTATATGCACTGTTGCCGCAGGAGAAAGCGTTGGACTATGATGCTTTGAAGACGGCGTTACTAAAAAGGTTTGAAAAGACGGAGGATGGATTTCGTCAAAAGTTCCGTAAGAGCAGACCTGAGGTAGGGGAAACTTTTTCACAGTTTGTTGTTCGTCTCGGTAGTTATCTCGATAGGTGGATTGAACTTGGTCGAGTTAACAAGACTTTTGATGGCCTCTACGATATGATACTCAGAGATCAGTTTCTGTTCATGTGTAACAAAGAATTGACATTGTTTTTGAAAGAACGCATACCGAAAAACATCAGAGAAATGTGTGATTTAGCAGATCAGTTTAGAGAGGCAAGGCATGTTAACATTCAGACATTAGTTCATTTTAGCAAGAAAGAGAACTCTCCAGGAAAAAGTCAGGCATCGAGAGAACAGGAACAGCGAGATCAGAAGCCAGGATTGAAGTTTCAACCCATGAAAACTCCAATGAAGAAAGAAGTTCGTTGCTTCAAGTGTGACAGACTGGGCCACATAGCATCTCAGTGCCACCAGACTCAGAAGAACCGGAACTCATTGAATGTTGTCGTCGATCGTACAGAAAAGGAATCTACGACAAAGAACTCAGAATTACAAGGCAAGTGTGGAACTTTTACTTCCTTTACAAACACATCAACATTTTCGATGGCGTCAAATTCAATGGACCTTGTAAACACTTCATCGTGTAACGTTAGTGCATCTCTTGAAGATATGCCTACCTGTAAGGGCAAGTTAAATGAACATTTTGTGACAGTGCTTAGAGACACTGGTTGTAACGGTGTTGTAGTTCGTAGGGATTTGATAGATGATGTTCAGCTTACGGGAAATCATCGAATTTGTGTTCTGGCGGATGGATCTAGGATTCAGGCACCTGTTGCGCGAGTGAAAATAGACACTCCTTACTTTGTGGGTGAAATAGACGCTTGGTGTTTAGAAAATCCATTGTATTCCTTGATCATAGGGAACATCCCCAACGCAAGAGATCCAAAGGATCCGGATAGAAACTGGACACCTTATCAAGCGCATGCAGTAGTGACAAGGCAACAAGCTCAAAAGGAAGGTAAGAAGACTAAATCTCTTCATGTTCCAGATATTATTGACGCTGAGATATGTCCTGACGACATCAAGGCAGCACAGGAGAAAGACGAGACGTTAGCCAAGATACGCTCTTTGGTAGGACAAGACGACGACTCCAAGGTATCTTACATTAGTAAAAAAGGTATCATTTATCGTGTCTTCCAGTCAGATAAACATCAGAATGGTAAACGTTTTACACAGCTAGTTGTTCCAAAGAAATATAGGACTAAAGTTCTTTCGCTTGCTCATGAATCTATTATGACAGGTCACCTAGGTACTTCCAGGACAGCCAGCAAAGTCCTTGCAGAATTTTATTGGCCGGGAGTTCAAGCGGACGTACGTCGATTCTGCAGATCATGCGACATCTGTCAACGTACTACTCCGAAAGGCAGGACTACAAAGGTACCACTCGGAGATATGCCTATTATTGAGGTACCGTTCAGACGTGTAGCTGTCGATTTGGTAGGACCTATCCAGCCAGCAACCAGTAAGGGTAATCGTTACATTTTGACTATTGTTGACTTTGCTACCCGTTACCCAGAGGCAATTGCTTTAAAAGGAATTGACACTGAACGAGTCGCTGAGGCTCTGGTAGATGTATTTTGTAGAGTAGGAGTACCGAAGGAAATGCTCACGGATATGGGGTCACAATTTACATCCGAGCTGATGACAGAGGTTAGTCGTTTACTTTCTATACGACAGTTAACAACGACACCGTACCACCCCATGTGCAATGGACTGGTCGAGCGGTTCAACGGTACATTGAAGCAGATACTCCGACGGTTATGTGCGGAACGTCCTACTGATTGGGATAAGTATCTATCAGCCTCATTGTTTGCTTACCGTGATGCACCACAGGAGAGTCTAGGATTCTCACCGTTTGAACTGGTTTACGGACACGAAGTTAGAGGACCTATGAAGATTTTGAGGGAGTTGTGGACTAAAGAAGTAGCAGATTCAGAGGTTAGAACTACATACCAGTATGTTGTTGATTTGAAGGAACGACTAGAAGCTACGTGCAGATTAGCGAGAGAGAATCTACAAAGTCGTCAGAGAAATACCGGAAGTATTATAACAAGGGAGCACGGAACAGACAAATGTCAAAAGGTGAGAAAGTTCTTATTCTTTTACCAACTGCCAGTAACAAATTACAAATGCAATGGAAAGGTCCATATGAAATTATAGAGAGACTAGGAAAAGTTGATTACAGAATTAACGTGAATGGAAAAATCAAAACATTTCATGCAAATATGTTGAAGTTGTACATTGACAGAGCAAACGAGAGTAATGATGAGACAGGTGTTCTAGGTGTTGTAGGCGCCGCAGTACTCGATCTAGATGATGATGGAGAGAGCGACGATGAGCTGTTGTGTGATTCTCTAGGAGAAACGAAAAATGAGGGACCGGCAGATGTGAAAGTAAGTGATGAACTAACTGAGAATGAAAAAGCAGAAGTCAAGACATTACTAGAGAATTTTTCAGATGTTTTATCAGATGTACCTGGTTTGACGAATCTCGGAGTTCATCATATCAAGTTGACTAGTGACCAGCCTATTCGCACCAAACCTTATCCTCTGCCGTTTACTTCAAAAGACGTTGTTTGTGACGAGGTAAGAAAGATGGTGGAAGCCGATGTGATCGAGCCTTCGACGAGTCCATACAGTTCCCCGATAGTCATCGTGAAAAAGAAGGACGGTTCGAACAGGTTTTGTATCGATTTTCGTGCAATTAATAAAGTAACTGTTTTCGATGCAGAAACCATTCCAAGTGCTGATGATATTTATGTACAATTATCTGGCTGTAAATATGTGTCCAAATTTGATCTATCTAAGGGATACTGGCAGTTACCTTTGGATGATGCAGCGAAGGAGATCACCGCTTTCCAAACGCCACTTGGTTTGTTTCAATTCAGGGTGATGCCCTTTGGCTTGATAAACGCTTCCGCAAGTTTCAGTCGCCTGATGCGTAAGCTCTTAGACGGAATGCAGTGTGTGGATAACTTTATAGACGATGTGATTGTGTACACTCGAACATTTCAGGAACATGTTAATGTAATTCGGGAACTTCTGCTAAGACTTCGTGCTGCGAATTTGACTGTGAAACCAAGTAAGTGTTTTATTGGTTACCGGAGTCTTGAGTGTCTCGGACATATTGCAGGAAATGAAGAACTTAGACCTCTTCCTGACAAAGTTTCCGCCATTCACAACTTTACCCAACCTTCAACGAAGAAGCAAGTGCGATCATTTTTAGGTCTGGTAGGATTCTATCGTAAATTCATTCCGAATTTTTCAGCTATTGCTTCGCCTTTATCAGATCTTACCAAGAAAGGCCAGCCGAACAAAGTGATTTGGAAAGAGCCACAAGAAAATGCATTCATCACTCTCAAGAACGCTTTAACGGTAACACCAGTTCTCAAACTACCTGATTTAAATGAAAGCTTTGTTTTACAGACAGATGCGTCAGATCGTGGTGTTGGGGCAGTTTTGATGCAGTACGAAGATGGTGTGAAGAAACCTGTCGCATACGCTAGCAAGAAACTTTCCAAATGTCAGGTAAATTACTCTACAATCGAGAAAGAGTGCTATGCGATAATCTGGGCAGTTCAAAAGTTCCGCAGGTATTTGTATGGTAAGGAATTCCTACTAGAGACAGATCATCAACCACTAGTATATCTTACCAAAGCCAAGGTGTCTAATGCACGTCTGATGCGCTGGGCATTACTTCTGCAACCATACAGGTTTCGCATTATTTCCATCAAGGGTTCTGAAAATGTAGGAGCTGATTGTCTTAGCAGAATTTAGATATGTATATAATTATATATAGTCGATTTTATGCTATAATTGATTGTGTTTTTTTTCAAAAGTTCGTTGAACTTTCTTATGTTGGGGAGATATTGTCACAATCAATATTTAATTTTAATTGCATTTACATTATGTTTATGGTTTTTATTTTATTTACCCTTTACTGGACCTCTATACTTTTGTTACCTTATTGAACCTCAGTTAAGTTTTGCAGGTATTGGTCAGTTACGACCTATTGTATTTTGGGGTATTTAAATCGCTGCATAGCTGACCAGGTAACCAGGGTCCACGTTTTCATAGCTTTTAAATGGTTGACATACAGTCCAAGATGAGTGGCTAAATTTTTTCTTTCAACGGTAACCATTTCTCCAAAGGGGTAAGTTTGTTTTTTATTTCATATGTAAGTTTTTGAGTAATACATTTAAAACGTAGAACTATTTAAGAACTTGAGTTAATTAATGTTTTTGTTACTATTTACGTATACAGGTTTTGCTGGGTAGAGTTACTCATGCGTTTATTGTTCTATTTTTGTGCAATGTACTGAGTTATATACGCACGTAGGCTATTTTGTTTTGCCGCTTATAAAGTCGGTGTTGTGGGTTTAATAGTTAAAACCACTTTTGTTAAGATGTTGTGTATTCTTAACGTTTTTCTTATTATAATAGTGTTCGGTTAAAATTACCGGGACTGATTGTATGGTGTGCCATAAGTGCAATTGTAGTCAATGGTGACTTGAGTTTTCCTTTTGTATACGTGGCTTGTGACTTAAAAAAATGTTATTTAATTCAAAGGTTCCTGATGTTATCCAATGTTAATCTATCCATGTGTGTGTTGGCAATGAACTTACCAGACCGGGATACCCACTGGGAGCCAGTTGGCGGGAGTCCGTCGTGAAACGGGTCGTGTCTGGATAGACGTGGTTTAGAGTCAACGATATTGAGGATTAATAGAGACTTTAATTTCTGTGTATTGTAAATAATAGCTGTAAAAATATGTTGTAAATATTGTTTTTATTGATTTTATTTATAGATAAAAAAAATTGTAAATAGAAAAAAAAAATCTTGTTATATCTGACTGGACAGAGCACGACGGCTGTCGTGACACAGACACACACTCCAATGAAATGGATGTGTACCAATGGATACAAGATTGTTGATCATGTACTTGAGCGAATCCATTATACATCAAGAAAAATATCAAATGTATCTTGTTTGTTTTAACTATATAGAGATAGCGTTGCAATTATGCTTGATATATATATATTAAAAAAACTTGAACTGATGATCATTACATACATGCATGTGCATTAATCAGATTTTCAACTGTTATTGCATCTTTTAAAGAAAAAAATACTTAAGTCAATTCATAAAACCTCTTCGACGTTTGAACGAAGCAATGTCAAAGATTTATTTTCGAACACGCGCTATAGTTGTTATATTGAAATTACCAGAATGTATAAATTTTTTAACGTTTCAAAATTCAGAGAGTTTAAAAGCAACTATAACAAGCCGCAGACGAGAAACAAAAACTTATTTATTAAGAAAAACTCAATATACAAAAAAAAAAAAACAAAAAAAACAAAAAAAAACATACATTTGTATTGATAGACTGGAGAGCTACGGTGCCACCCATTGAACTGTGAGTACTGAGCTCACTAAATGATACCCCCGCCTCCCATATGATTATAATGACAAAGTCAATGTTTTGCTCTTGGAGACCCTCAGACCTGAAATATGTGTTAGATCAAAAAGTAAAACAGAAAATGCACATGCACAGTGGCATTATTTATTGAAGAATCTGTGAAAGTATCATTAAAATTCATTCAGTGGTGAAGGAGGAGTTGTGCGTTTAAGAGATTGGATTTATAACCATCAATATTATAGAAAGAATGGCAGTGTCCATATCTTGTTATAAGAAACTCAAAATATGTGCATAGCTGCAGAACTGTAGCTCTCTGCTTGAGAAAATTCGGACAGACAAAGCAGAGAGCTACAGATCCAAGCTTTGTAAAACCTTCGATTTACGCCGACGAGTTTTTCGCTACTTTAGGTATTTATTTCGTGTAGTTTAAGCTTTCTATGGTTTTTAGAATGGTACCCTATTATAATTCATATATTTAACTCTTATATTTGATACTTTGTTACCTTTTAATGGCCCGAAAACAGTCCTGGATATAGTTTTGTAATGTCGGTTTAAAAGAGTTCCATTTCGACGTCCGTAACCACAAACAGTCACTTGTTAGCGTTGAGAGGTAAGAAAATGATCAAGAATTGAAGTTGAATATATGATTAATTATTAAATACCATTTAAAATTATTTTGAAAGCTGGGGAAAGTATAAAATACATAAAAAAATACCCATAGTGAGCGACAAAAAATCGTCGGCGTAAATTAATCGAAGGTTTTTTCAGACGCTTGGATCTGTAGCTCTCTGCTTTATCTGTCCCGAATTTTCTCAAGCAGAGAGCTACAGTTCTGCAGCAATGCACAATGGCACTTTGTAACAAAGAGTTGAAAGTCTCATCAAATTTCATACAGTGGTATAAGAGGACTTGCGGATAAGAGATGGGTACCCCAAAGCGTAACGGACAGACAGAGAGACGGACGGACATCCCGATCACTATACTTACCCTCCCACTTTTCAAACGGGGGTGGGGGGTTAAAAACTGTACATTAATAGAGCATGAAAAGTTTCATAGATTTATTTCCCCCAAATCAATTTCTTAACTTGGCTGTAGGGTGAATTCAAATTTTAAAGATCGGTTAAAAAATTAATTATATCTACATTTGTATTTCAGCTATATATACTGTCGTAGTTCATATTTGAAGCGTTTGGACCGATTGATCCTATATATAGATTTTAAGACTGCACCTTCTTCTTTTCAAATTTTGCAAAGAATGGTTGTAAAACTTGATATCCCCAAATTGGGGGCATACATGTTCAAAAGACTATTTTATAAATATAAAGTAAGATAATAAGATATAATTCTTATGGTGGCATATTTCTGCCCTTACATGCAAGAAACATTATGTTAACATGCAGCATAATTATGCCAACATGCAAGATAATTATGTTGACATGCAATTTACCAATCTTATAAGAAAATATTATTAGAATATGGGTTAATTCTTCTAACGCTCGTATCTGACATTGTAATGCAAGATAATTATGTAGACATACAACTTATTTATGCCAACATGCAAGATAATTATATAGACATGCGATTTATTTATGTCAACATGCAAGATAATTATGC